CTAAGGACCAGATGATTTTTATTATGTCCTGATATGTAAAACCATAGAACTCAAAGAGAGTATACTTTCTTTTTCACACGGCTGTATTATTTAGCTACTCAATTTATAGAAAGGTAAGTGCTCTTTTTATAAACAGCCAGTTTGGGGTAGTGGCTAAAGCCGCTTGGCTAGAAACTGGGAGACGGTGAGTTCTAGTCCTGCTTTACGCACAAAGCCAGCTAGGTGACTTTAAGCCAGTCACTCTCTTGTAGCCTCAAGAAGGTAAAGGCAAAGCACTTCTGAAAATGTTTCCAAGAAAACCGCATGGACTTGTCCACGTAATGACCAGGAGTCAAGACTGATTCGAAGGCACCCACACAAAAAAGTGTTCTTTTTAAAACTTTGCAACATGTAATTTTGCAAATATACATATAAGCGTACCTTTAGTTGGCTTTCCTGCAATCACATTATCCTCATTCTTGGTTTTTGTATTTTGCTTATTGTCTTGTGCAAGGATAGAATCCAAAGCTTGTTGTATATCAAATTTACTTCTGAGTACTGCTTCCACCAGCATTTTTTCTGGCACTGAATCTCCAAGTACTTCTCTCATACGATCAAGACATGAATTAAGTTGAGCTAAAAAAAAAATGGAATAAAATAATGAATTATTAGGGTAAAATCTTGCAGACAAGATCATATAAATAGCTGAAAATCAATACAGATAGTTCTTGCTTAACAACCACTCATTTAGTGACTGTTTGAAGCTAGAACGGTGCTGAAAAAAGCTATTTACAACCAGTCCTCGCACTTACAACCATCGCAGCACCCCTGTGGTCATGTGATCATGATCCGGGCACTTGGTAACTAGCTCGCACTTACAATGGTTGCAGTGTCACAGGGTCACGTGATCACCAGTTGCAATCTTCCCAGTCAGCTTCCAGCAAGCAAAATCAATGGGGAACTACGTGGTTCGCCTAACAGCTGCATGATTCACTTAATGACCATGGTGATTCCCTTAATGACCACCACAAAAATGTTGTAAAATTGGGTGCTGTCACATGATGCCTTACTTAATGACCACCTGCTTAACAACAAATTTTCTGGTCCCTATTGTAGTCATTAAGCGAGAACTACTTGTATTCTAATTTCCCTTAAGTGAATCACCACCATCTTCATCCAGGAAGAAGAAAAATATGTATTTCCTGCACTTTTAAGATATATTATTTATTAAACTTATATTGCCAACTAGGATTGTACAGCATTTCAGATGGAAGGTAAAAGGATGCTTCAGAGCAAGTATGGGCATACCTGTAGCACCTATATTGAACTTATTATTCAATGTCTTTTTAAAACACTTTTCACTATTATAAAAATACATCATAGGAATATATTGAAATGAGCGCAAACCTGAAGATCAATGTATTAGTCAACATATTTGAAAGAGAGGCACAAAGCAGAATAATTGAATTTCATGCTGCTGTCCAGTTTAGTACCATACCTATGATATTTTGCTTATCCCAGTTTGGTGTACTGGTTAAAGTGCTGCCCTAGAAACCACAAGACTATGAGTTCTAGGCCTCCCTTAGGCATGAAAGCTGGCTGGGTAACTTTGGGCCAGTCACTCTCTCTGAGTCTAACCTGTTGACGTGGGGAAAATAGGAGGCAGGAATATTAACTATGTTCACCATCTTAAGTTGATATATACAGTAATACCTCGGTTCACGAATGCTTCTGTTCACGAACAGCAGCATTCACAAATTTTTGCGTTCACGAACTCCGCATCGGGTGATGAACACGACCCGTGGCCATCTTCCCTGCTCTGGCACGTGGTCGTGGCTTCCTCTAGGTGAGATCGCGA